CCTATAGGTTCAAAGGAAAGTACGCAGCCACGCCCCTCTTATCTCTGGGATATGGGCTGCAGACCGAGTATTGGGCAGATACAACAGTATCACGCGACAGGGAACTCAGAAAATAGAGTGATTCTTTGACCCGGAATCTTTTTAAGCCTAAATCTTCATATGTATGTAAGGGTTTTAACTGTGTACAAGATGCGCCGCTCAGCATTTTGATGACCCAAACCGACTAGACAGAGCGAGCCTATCGTCTCTCAGAGATCGCTTCAGTTATCCGAATTTGGGCGAAGTTCTGCTCGGTGACAGTGCAGTTTATCATCTTTTATGTTATCGCTGGCATCCATGACCATGGTGAGCGGATACGAACTTTGAAGGACCGACATAAGCGGCAGCAGGCTCCTACGGTTCGCTTGCTGCGCCCTCTGAAACCGTGAAAAGGGGGCAATACCTGTGGTTGACAACTCGGTCAGCGAACTATCGCTTTTAATTGCGGAATGTGCCATCGAATTAGTTTTTTCTGCCGTGATTGTTTGAAAGACCAACTTGAAAAAAGACACGAGAATAGCACTCAGAGGTTCACCTAGAGGCTTAAGCCCTCTCTAAAAACAAAACAGGTTCCCTTTGGAGACAACATCGACCAACAGGTTGGCTGACACAGTGACTCAAGACAATTGAGTTCTTAGCGTTGAGTCTATATTCGTTGAATTCCACAAAAAAACGTGTGTATTGATTGCAACCAATTGCTGTCGATGTCGTCTTCTACAGTAATGTGCTTGGGGCAAACGTACACTCCATACGTAGTTCCTTATGATTAGACTCTCTAACCAAACCGGCAGCTCAAGACAGAATGTCACTTAACCGGGAATATCCTTCTAAAAATGTACCCCAATGAAATTAATGAACTACGCAACTATCCATATCCAGCTACCCATTTTCGGAGTACGGAGTGCTCCAGATGCTGACTGGGTTATACTTTTTATGTCGCTGACACAGTAGCTGGTATTCCCTGCCTAGCTGACTATATATTTCCTGGGGTTTTTATTTTGATTTTCACCCTCAGTCAGCAGTACTGCTTTCGCCGCGTAGCCCGCAAGTCCATGAGCCTCCGCGAGCTCTACTGATTTGCAAGGATTGATACCTGCGGCGGTCTCTATAATGGACATCAGGCTGCCCCTCAGAGAAGTAAAATGATCATGCTAGTGAAGGTTTGGAGGGGCTAGAGTGGGTTCCGTTGAGTGGACGACAGGGCGTTTTTCGCAAACCGTCTAGTTTTGCCCTCGTTGTCACGAGAGCGAATTTCACAGCAATTTCTGGTTTTTAACGAGAAAAATGCGATTCAGTCCCTGGCGTTTTGCTACTGAGCTGGGCACAGGTAACATGGGGAGCTTGCGTTGGAGATCATTATGTCTCACCTCTTTTATTCTGACGTAGCTGATTCGCATTTTCTTCTCCAGCTTGGCCTGGATATCGTCGAACTGCAAATATTCATTTATTTCGAATTCAAAATTCATTCAAAATTTTAATTAAGTGAGACACATCCTCGGGGATGAATAACTATAAATTGTACAGTCTTGTTCGCTGCGGATGGAGGGGCGTGTCAGTGAGGCTCGGCGCGCGCCGAAGCGGGTAAGCGGCAACAACTGGTACAGAACGATTGTATGAACGATATGATACAGCCTGGCCCGCCCAAAAGAAAAAAAATAGAAAAAAAGGGCTAGCGCTGCACCAAGTCCATCCTTGACACGCCCTTTCATCGGCGTCGGATAAGGCTGTATGATCTGCACCTCCCTCTTTAGCGACCCCGTCCTAGCCCGTTTACGTAAGCGCCCATTTTGCTTTTTGCTAATGCCGTCAAATTCAGATTAAAAATTCAATCCGATAGTTACCAGTTTCTCAAATGTAATGAAAAATCCTTATTGATTTGAATGGTGCAAACATATGACAACTGACCTTTTGTTGAAGTTCTGGATTGTTTTCACGCCTCATTTCCAACTCAGCAGGAATGAGCCGAAGAAGTAAATCAACGAGGCGCGTTCGGATCTGGAAACGAAATATTAGCAAGGAATTCTTGCTGTTAGTGGGGTTCTTGACAGGGTATACCATGGCGCTGAGGGAAGAGTCGTCTCAGCATGAGCCTTCGTCACTAGGCTCGAATACGACCCCAGGCCAACTTCCCTTGTTCAACCTGCCACAGATCCTCGATGGTTTTGGACCGAGAGGAGTGAGTGGTGGCGGGGAGGAAGGGGAGGTGAGTCTTCAGCATCAGAAAACC